TGTAATGGTTCGAAGAAAAACCATTCTTATTTATATATATAGGCAGTCCTCAGGAAGGAAATTAATTTAGGAAACAGATATATTTCTAGCTGTTTTTAAGCACATGTATTTTTTGAACAGGTGAATATAGTTCTGATTTACCCTTATTTTGTGTAAGTAAGGTGTTCTGATTAAGAGACTGCACTGCTAATCAAAAAGTTAAATGGTTTTAATCCACCAGATTCTGCCAGGGGAACAACGAGCAGCTGTCTTCTGTAAAGACGTACAGCTTTGGAAACCCTGTAGGCAGTTAACTCTCCTCTGACCTCTAGGGTCACTGTGAGTCAGAAGCAACTTGATGGCAGCAAATTTGGTTTTATCTGGTTAGTGCAAGAAAAGGCCCAATACTTTTTCATTAATTTAAAATGGCACATGCAGCAGCTGGAAGTGATTATGAGGAAGAATTTCCTGCAAGTAGGGTTTGTGAGAAATGTCCTTACATTTCAAAGTGAGGACAAACTTTTGGAACATTAAGGGTAAATAGAAGTTATTCTAAATCTGATGTTCGTAATCAGGAGACTGCCTGTACACAAAGAGCATTTCAAAAATGGCCTCAGACGTATCAGAGAGCTTGAGGACGGCACAGGATAGGGCAAGGTTCAGAGCTGCTGTTCATGGAGTCCCTATGAGTTCTAGCCAACTCAATGACACCTAACAAGAACAACATAGATTAAATTATTAGACTCAGTCAGTCCATGTTGTAAAGGTGGTAGATAAAAAAATCAACAATCAGAATGCTTGTCTTTTTATTTACAAGCAACAAAATTAAAATCTTACAAAGATAGCATTTATAATATCTTGCCTAGCAATAAGTCTAACAAATAAAATATAAAATACTAAGCAACAAATTAAAACAGATATAAATAAATAGTAAAAATATGTCTATGAATTATTTGAATACTCAATATTATAAAGATGCAAATTATCCCCAAATAATACTCAGTAACTGAGGAAGGAGATAATTTTCTAGCTGTAGAAATTAATCTATAGTATATTAATCTATAGCATATTTTACTCAGTATTATAAAAATGCAAATTAGGTTGATTGAATGCAATCTTCGTATAATCTTAACATACTAAAAAACCTCACAAACCAAAAAAAAAAAAAACCCTCACAAACAAGCCTGATCATCTGATACTAAAATATGTATGGAAGTACAAATAGTTGATTTCAAAACTTATATTTTAAATGGATTAATGCTATGGATCACACCATTCAGCAACTCAGAAAGATTCTTGAAGAATTTTTCTTAAATCTGCAGAACTGGAAATTAAAGAAATGTGGTCATAGGGAGCTTTAGTGGTGTAATCTGTAGGGAGTTGCACAGCTAGCTCAAAGAATGTACCTCTTCAGTGTTTCAAATCCACCCCAGGATGGGCAGTCTCTTCCTGTGCAGTTTACACAAACCATGAGTTGGTTCAGACCTCAAGGTAATGAGTTGAGAAGGAGATAACTAATTGCAGTATATGCTCTTAAACTAGATCCTGTACAGGAAAAGGGGAGGGGAGGAAACAAACATTAAAAGGCCTATTGGGTCAATTGATAATATTAGAATCCAGTGGATTGAATAAAAGTATTACATAAAAAGTTGAGGATGGGAGGAGGGGTGGGCAGGGAGAAGAGTGCAACAATGAATAAATGGAAATCCAAAGTCTCTGTAAATTTTCATTAAAATTAATAAAATATATGATTTTTAAAAAGTTGAGGAGAAAAGAAAAATATGTAGCAATCAAGGGATAAAGCAAATGGGGCAAAATGTTAATAGTAGGTGAATTTTGGAGAAAGAATATATAGGAATCCTTCATATTATTTAACTTTTCTCTAAATTTGAAATTATTTGCAAAGTTAGGGAAATTGAAAAGTTAAAGAAAAAATCCTCAAATGTCTAACAATATATATAGTATAAAGTGTGGGGTTTAAAAAATTTCATTTTACATAAAAAGCCTAGAAAGATTTTAATTAAAACAGATTTGGTAATGCTCTGCTGGAGAATGCTCTGCTGGGCAGTCTCCTCCTGTGTGAGTTGGATCTGTCTGATTCAACAGTACACAACAAGGGGAAAAAAACCATTAATAAGATTAATTAAAATCCATCCCAAACCAGTGCAGTTCGAATCCACCAGATGCTCCGCTAGAGAAGGAGGGGCAATCTCTTGTGCCATTTGGATTGGATTAGATGGCACACGAGTAAAAAGAAGAAGGGGGAGGGGGGAGCTCTGGTGTCCTAGTGGCAAGAAGCTGCACTGCAATCCCAGAGGTGGTGGTGGTGGTGGTTGTTGTTAAGTGCCATCGAGTCACAGGCTACTCATAGCGACTCTATGAAGGAGAGTCCTCAACGCTTGGGTGTCTTTCATCCTTTCTCCAAGTTCATAGGGTTTCTGGAGGTAAATTATTATGGATGTGGATGCCACTCCTGCTTCCAAGCGTGTTTTAACCGGGGAGCTCCACCCCACTCTCTGTCCGCATTGGGTAGTCAACCATTAACGCATCTGACACATCTGTGTTACAGTGTTCAGCCTCACAATAACCACAAGTGACCAAAGTACGGCAACTTGTACACCAGGGCTATACAACCTAGAGGAATGTCTGAACAAAAACAATGAAAGACAGGCCCAAGGACCGCAGATTAAAAGTCACCCACCTTTGGCTTGGTAGCATCGCTTTCTGTCCACTGGGCCAGCTGATCTCTCTCTCTGTGTTGATGTTATAATCCCAGAGGTATGTGATTCAAATCCACCAAATGTTCTGCTGGAGAAGGAGAAGCAATCTCCTTCTGTACCAGTCAGATCCTATTTGACAGTACACACACGGAAAATAATAAAATTTTTAAAAATAAAACAGATTTGTTTTTAAACAGTTGTTTCTTCTGGGTGATGCAGTTGGAAGGTGCTGGGGAGAACTTGGACTGACTTACTACTTTTTGGTTTTAGTAGTTTAGAGTATTTTCATAGGTTTTTGAGGGGGTTTTCAGATGCAAATGATGTTGACTTCCATATCAAGTTTTGACCAGTTATGCACTGGGTGTTTTAATGGTTTTTAAGGAGAAGACTTGCTCAGTATTTACTCTTAATCTTTTTATAACTACAGTGAAATGCAATAATTTCTTTTAGTATCAAGTAGAGGAATTGAGAGAAATATTAAAAAGAATTCTCTCGTATTTGTAATAAATAATTTCTTTTCTGTAAAAGGGAAACGAAGCACCCAGCCACTATAGCAGGAGCTTTGGATTCTTTTGCCACATACACCGTGTGCTGTCATCAGCATACAACTAGCTATGGCCAGTGAACACTAAACTTGCAAATTATTAGCATCATTTTCAATCAGAAAACTGGTATAAGATTTGATAGAAAAGCAAAAGGTTTACTTTTTTAAAGTTTTCTTTCTTCTTTTTCAATGAATTAATGGGTATATTTTACTGTATCATATTTTTAAGATTTTTTGGTTTTGTTCTTTGTTTTCAGCCTCAGTAGTTCCACAAATAATATCTCTTTCTTTGCCTGATTTTATTTTTATTATCTATAGGGATAGAAAATATTGAGTAGTCATAAATACAAATTAATGTAAAATTATAAACCTCTAAGAAATGAAAAAAATGCTGATCTTAGTATTCTGTTACAATACCAAAGATGTCTCTGAGAAGCTCTTAAAGCCAATAAGCGCCTCTCTCATTGCATTTCACTTTGCTTTTTTTTCTTCTCCATGTGAATGTAAACTTTTCTTCTCATATTTCTGTTTCATCTCCTCCTTTCTTGGTGTCTCTCTTCTCCCTGAAGACCACTACATTTCAAGCTATCAGAAAGGTACCCAAACTGAAATGTGCTAATAAGAGCCTAATACTTGCTGCCTGTACCATCCAAGTCTTTCAGTTAGACTCATTTTGGTTGGTAGTTTAATGATTCTGAAAGGACTCTCCATCTCGTTCCCCCTTTCTGTTTTAATGTAAAGATTTTCTGTGGATCCTGCCATATGAACACTCAGGTTCCAGCTATGTGGATAGCAGGAGGGGAAGGAAGGAGAGACCATGTTTCTTTTCTTTTCTTTTCTTTTTTTTTTACTTTGTAATGCAGTCACCTGGTGCATGCCTGGACATGGACTTCTCAAGTGTGAGCCATTTCCTGAATCTTAGATGAAAAAGTCTTGTATTAACTTTTTCATATCACTTTATAAAATGCCCTACCTGGCCCCATAGCCTGTACTACCTAGAATAGATAATACTCTGTTCCATGGGGGTGCAGTCAACCAGAAGATTAGCAGTTTAAACCCATCAGCCACTCAAGAGAAATTTTAACTATCTACTTCCATAAAGAGTACAGCCTTAGAAACCTTCTGGGCTAGTTCTGCTCTGTCCTGTAGGATCGCTGTGAGTTGGAAAAGCTGGCAATGGGTTTGGTTGTTTGGTTTTTTAAAAAATAGAAAATAACTGGCATGAGAGCAAATGAAGATTAAAGAATGAAAGCAGCCCTCACTGGATTCAGGAGAGCTAGCTGTTCATTATGTTCACACACAGGAGAAAAGTACCTGAGCTACTGCTTGCCATTTGGCAGGCCAAGCTCTGCATCCTAAAGTGACCCACAGCGTTCTCGGAAGAGTTCTTTGCTGTAACGACTGTCTTTGTTTGTTGGTATGAGATGTCTTTGTGGGTGCATGTTTCATTTATCCCTGTGTTCTACATTTCAGAACTGCAAACAGGTCCCTATCTCTGATAGAGCACTCAGTCTGTCTTGTTTTGTGGACTCTCCATTTTTTTCTTCGACTTTTTCTCTTCTCAGAGTGTTTTCTGTTGTTCCTTAGAGATTTCTGAGATTCCGCTGCCCCTCATGTTTAAATAAATTTAGGCCTTGATTTCTTTTTTGTAAACAGCAGTTTCTTTAACTTAAATGAGAAAGCTACTCGTCTTCTGTTGTTAAACACCAACTTGTGAACACATTCCTTTAACTCCTGTATTCTTTGTATTCTCTAAGGAAGCACTACTGTTCGTAAGGAAATCATCAAGAATAAAATCAGAGCCATTGGGAAGATGGCACGGGTCTTCTCAGTCCTTCGGTAAGATAACTCTAGCACCACATTGTTTAATTAAAAGCATTTTGAGAGTAAATTAATAGTTAACTTCAGGAGTTTCGTTCTTTTTTATTTTTAAAGTAGAATTTGAGATCAGAACTGTTAGTATTCACATTAAATGCAGACTGAATCAGACCTATGGGTTCTGTTAAAGTGACTTGAAAGTGTTCTGGCAAACATTAATTTAGTTGTGGTTTAGAATGATGAGTGGAGTGGTTTATGTGGATTTTGAAGTCAGATGGGCTGTGTTCAAATCCTCGTCTGCTGCCTTTTAGCTTTGTGGTTTGGAGTTTGGCCTCTTTGCCTCAATTTCCTTGTCTATAAAATGGAAATGATAATAGGACCCACTTGAGCTTTTAGGAGGATTAAACGTGATAATATATGGGAAACATTAGAAAAGTACCTTGTTAGTAAATGTTTCTTACTGAAAATCATGATAGGAAGTAGGAAAATCTTCCTCTGCGATTTTTTCTTTTCCGTATCCTTTTCAAGTATCTTTTGAATTACTGAATGGGTGTGTTCCTTGGCATTAATCCAGGGCTTTGATGTTCTTTTCAGAGAAGAGAGTGAAAGTGTTCTGACTCTCAAGGGCCTCACACCTACAGGTACACTCCCTCTGGGTGTCCTCTCAGGAGGAAAGCAGACTATTCAGACAGGTGAGTATGCAAAATGTTCCTTTATTGGAAGTTGTTCTTCTATTACCTAATAGTCAACGTAAATTAAAAATCAAGGCTTTTTTAGTAACTGATACTAGAGCAGTTGGATAGCCATAGAGGATAAACAAATCTTAGCCTTTACCTCCTTTTATAAAAAAAAAAACTATTCAAATTCATTATAACTTAAATGAAAAAGATGAAACAATAGAATTCCTGAAAGAAAGTCTGGTTGCCTGCTGGGATAGACAGAGAATCCCTAAGTAGGACATAACAAGTACAAACTTAAAAGAAAAGAGAAAAAGAAAACACCATAAACTGGATTTCATTAAAATTAAGAACGTGTGTTCATGAAAATATGTAGTAAGAGAAGGGGAGAGTGAGTCTTAAGTTGGGAGAAGATTTTGGCAATACACATGTCTGAGAGAGAACTTTAATTCATAATAGAGAAAGAATTCCTTCAACTCAAAAGATAAGCCAGTTGAAGAAAAAAAAGTCGAGACTTTAGAGGTATTTCACAAAAGATAATATTAAAATAACCAATAAACATGAAAAAAACTGTTTGATACAAGTTACTTACTGAGAAATGGCTTTTAAAATGCCACTACATATCCACTGTTGTTGTTGTTATGTGCCATCGAGTCGCTTGCTACTCATAGCGACCCTATGTACAACAGCCCTAAACTCTGCTCTGTCCTGTGCCAGTCACACTACCTCTGACACACCCATCCCAATTACCCCAGTCACTGAATCAATCCACCTCATAGAGGGTCTTCCCCTCCTGCGCTGTTCCTCCACCCTCCCAAGCATGATGTCCCTCTCCAAGGACCGGTCTCTCCTCACAACATGTCCAATGTATGTTAGACGGAGCCTCAGAATCTTTGCCTCCAAGGAGCCACCCAGTTTAACCCTTTCCAGGATGAACATATCCACTAGTATAGATAAACTATGAATTTGTTAAGATACAGAGAACTGGAACTGTCATACATAGGTTTTTGTTGTTGTTTCCATGGAGTCACCTGCAGTTCATAGCGACCCTGTGCACAATAGCTCTAGATCCTGCTCTATTCTGGGTCAGTCTCACCGTTTCTGACGCACCCACCCTCATTACCCCAGCTATTGGTCAGTCCATCTCATCCGGGGTCTTCCTCTCCTGTGCTGTCCCTTGACCCTTCCAAGCATGATACCCTTCTCCAAAGACTGGTACATGATGAATGGAAAAGTGCTGGGCAGTAAAGCTAAACATGTACCTATTCTTTGACCCAGCAATTCCATACATGGTATATATATCCAAGAGAAATTAGAGTGTATGTCCACCAAAGGATTGCATAAGAATTTTCACTGTAGCTATATTAATAACCCATAATTGCAGGGGGCAAGGGAAGAGTACCATATGACTGGCAATAGGAAAATAGATAAGTAGGGTTGTATTTATATAATTAAATACTATTCCGCTATTAAAATGTTATGGATACATGCCATTATACAACATATGTGAACCTCACAGACATTATTATAGTGAACTCTAAAAGACAGATACAAAAGAACACAGTCTAAAATTTTTAAAAAAGAGCACAGTCTCAAAAAAAAAAAAGAGCACAGAGCACAGTCCCATTTAGATGATGTTCAAGAACAGGCCCACTGATGGCATAGAGGTTAGATGTGGTTTCTCTGCTGGATCAATATTGATTGACTGGGAAAGGGCACAAAGAAAGTTGAGGATACTAAAAATGTTCTAAATCTCGGCTGATTGTAGTTACATATATGTATTATACATACAGAAAAATATTGACTCTGTACATATTATATGCTTATTTTTTATATGTTTTATACCTTAAAACATTTTGCTGTTCTGGAGTAGTCAGTCAGAAAAGTAACGTGCAGTCACATTCCACCCCAGTGTCACAAGCACGTCTTCAACCAGAGTATCTGTTCTAAAATTATGTAGATGCTGACTTCTAAGGGGAGAGCTTTATGGAATCATGTAATTAAAAGATTGCTTTTTTTCCCCCTGCCATGATAAATGTAGATCTGGTCACACAAGGACAGGAGACTTAGCATCACATCACTGATGACTAGTTGTTCTAGGCATGAAAACTAGAGTGAAAGCGTTATTATCTTAAGCTAATATACTGCTTTCCCCCCTAATTTTGTTGATTGGGTTTTGTTTATTTTGTTTTCATATCATCCTGCTACTTTTAGGAATATTTCTGTTTTTATTAAAATTTCACTATTTACTAATAGGAACAAGCCCCTTTCCCCCCATTTTTGTAGGATTGAATTCCACCGTCATTTCCAAATTTAATATTGGAATGCTGGTGTTAGCTGTATAGATGGGATAATTAACATTTTTCCTTTTGGAAGTATGTATTAATCTATCATTGTAACAATAAACTATTTCAGGTTGAGTTCTTTCTCTCAGATGTGTAGTTTTTAGTGAGAAAAATGCTTTGCCACTATTGTTTTGCTTGGTAATAACTAGTCATATAAGATATTCTGAGTACTATGTATACTCAAGTTCCAACAAGGTGCTTTAGAGTGAATAAGGAAGCAATCTGAGTAAATAAAAAATCATTTCCAATAGCATCCTTACTTGAAAAGTTTTGAAAATTCACTGATCCACAAAGTTCTTTATTTTTTTATAATTTCCTACTAGTTTATTTACAACAAGGTTGTTATTTTAGAGTAAACACATTTTTTTCTGTAGACCTTAAGGTTATACATCTGCAAAGTGAATTTTATTGATGTAGTCTCTGAAAAGTTGCTTATTTTTAATTCTTCACCTACCCTCTGTTTTCAGGCCTAAATGTATCCAGTTCCTCTTTAGTCTTGATATGACTAAGAGTATTATAATAAATATGGTATTGTTTATTAATTCCTAAGAAATTTATGGAAGTTGTCTCGGGGGGAATGTGTGAAAATAAAACTAAAACTAGCTTAAGAGCTAACTTTTTGGAGACTCTTGCTCCCTTATCAAGAGAAACTGAATTTATTTTGATTTTTTTTTTATGTTAGCGTCTCAGTTCTAGAGTTTCATTTGTAAACTGAAGTAGTTGTTGAAAAACTTATGTTTGCACAATTTTATTTTACTTAGTTAGTTAGTTAGTTATTTTTCCCCCTAATTGACTGAATGTTCTATAACCTTGTTCCATGGATGGCACCAAGCAAGGCCTCAAACCGTTTCAACACTACTCTTGCAGGCGCTGTAGGAACGCACAGGATCACTCCAGACCCAAGCATGCCTGTGGCTTGCAATGTTTACAGAATTTGCTTAAAGAATTTTGAACCAGCAGTATTCCATTTGGCCTTATAACATATATAATGTGTGAGATACAGTGTACATACAACACAGTGGAAGTAAAAGAAATAAAGGGGGGAAAACTCAAGAGTTAGCTAAAATTTATCTCCAAGCTTTCTAGTTGTTAGAATGAAAGAGGAAAACCAAGAATGGTAAAATTCCCAAGGGCCATTGTAAAAAAGCAGATCAGTTTAGGTTGCATATGGTACCATCAAAACAACATGTAGAATGAATAGATGTTGTTGGTGGTGGTGGTGGTTGCCATCAAGTCAAGCACAACTCATAGTGACCATGTGGACAAAAGCCCTGAAGCCTTTCTATAACTATCTTCATTTCTCAAAGTTCATAGAATTTCCAGAGGCATGTTGTTTAGGAAGTGTAAAATGAATAGATGTTGTTGTTATATACCATCAAGTCACTTGCAACTCATAGCAACCCTATGTACAACAGCCCTAAACCCTGCTCTGACCTCTGACACACCCATCCTGATTACCCCAGTCACTGAATCAGTCCACCTCATAGAGGGTCTTCCTCTCCTGCGCTGTCCCTCCACCCTTCCAAGCATGATTTCCCTCTTCAAGGACTGGTCCCTCCTTACAACATGTCCAAAGTATGTCAGACGAAGCCTCAGAATCCTTGCCTCCAAGGAGCTGTCCAGTTTAACCCTCTCCAGGATGAACCTGTTTGTTTCCTTAGCAGTCCACGGTACCCTCAATACTTCTCCAGCACCACAGCTCATAGGCATCAAGTAAATCATGTATCTATTAAAAGAGTATACCAGAATTAAAGAATTTTTAAATTTTATATAATTGTTATATATAACTCAATGAAACCATGGACAGAGAATTTTAATAGGTATTTTCCCCCAAAGAATATATACAACTTATAAAAGCAACCAAATTTATTGCCATCAAGTTGATTCCGACTCATCCAAACCAAAACCTGCTGCCATCCAGTTAGTTCCAACTCACAGCAACTCTTTGTTTGGTTCCTGATGCTGTAAATCTTTGCTTAAGGAGTCTGTCTTCCTCCCTTGAATCCCTGATGGATTCAAACAGCTGACCTTAGGTTAGCAGCTCACAGGTAACAGCTACCATGCCACATTAACAGACAGAGCCTCCATTAAGCTCTCAAGGCTCCAGACTTCATAGAAGCTGACAGCCACACCTCTATTCTGCTCTCAGCCACTTAAAAAGACTCGAATAGATTGCCTGTGACTTGGAACTGACACATCTGACCTTCCACTGGAATTCTGAGGCTGTATATCACATGAGAGGGGAGTGACCACCTTTAATCTACCAGAGCAGCTGACAAATTAAATCCTTCTTTATCTCCAGCAGGATGGTTATCGTTTTAAGATAATTGTAAAAGTTGGCAAAAGTGTAAAAAAGCTTGTGGGTCTGTCAAATGGTGCAGACTCTTTAGAAAACAATCTGGCAATAAAGTATTAAACAGCAATCACACCCCCCACAGGAAAAGAAAAGGTTTAGTATGCAACTGTTCATCAAAGCATTCTGGATAATAGCCGAACAGTAGAGACCCAAATGTCATCAGTGGATGAATATAAACAAAATGTGATATACCTACACAATGAAATATTATGCAGCCATAAAAAGAATGAACATGCTTCGACATGAATGAACCTTGAAAATAATATGCTGAGAGAAACTTAGTAGAAAAGATCATATATTACATGAGTCTACTTACCAAAAAAGTCCAAAATAGACTATCTATAGAGACAGAAGGCAGATAGTGATTGACTAGGGTTGAGGTCAGGGGTCAGGGAGGTAAAGGAGGAAAATGGGAAGTGACTCTCGCTGGGTAGGGGTTTCTTTTTGAAGTGATGGGAAATGTTCCAAACACCAATCGTGGTAATAATTGTACAACTTTGGATATATTAAAATACTGAATTGTGCACTTAAAGCAAGTACATTTTAGTGTATGTGAATTTTATCTGAATAAAAATGTTAAAAGTATAAAAACTGATAAGTTACTCAGTTTTATGTAACTGTTTTTCATAATGTCCCTTCGTGCAGGTTGATTTTGTACATATTCTCAAATAATGAAATGCTAGAATACATTTTACCACGTATCTTTTAACTAATTATATTGATACTTGGGATATAACTCCAGGCAATGTTTTTGTTCATCTACTTCCAAACAGTTGCTCCTGCAACAGACAGAATGAATTGTGGTTTTCTTCTAAAGAGTATTTCTCCATGTGATATGAGAGAGGGTGTGGCATTGTTTTAGTATGTGCCTAAGTATGGTCAACACATTTAAGCACTTGATTAATTAATGCCAGGTATTTATTTCTCACATTGTGTTAAGAAGTTAGGTTTTCTGATCTCCCAGTTTCTCCTTTCATGTTAATATATAACGCCTGGGACCAGCCAGCTGTTCCTGCTCATTAAGCTACCTTCTTTTAAAAGACTGGTATTGGAGGAACTGACAGGGTTCTCCTAAGAGATCTTTCTTGCTACAGCTTGTGACCTTTTCCTATTATTAGGGTTTTTACTGCCTGGAAAAAAAAATTCAAGAACGTTTTCCTGTCAGTGCTAATTTTTAAATTGCTTTCTTGCTATCACTTTGAGAAGTGGGCAGGCCTGCTTGGTACTTTATCGCCTCTGATGAATGGATAAATGCTGAATGGAAGCCACAGGGGTTGGAAATACCAGCTTCTCTTTTATCTACAGACCCAGATGCTACATGGGTTTGCATCTGGAATTGAATAGCTCATCAGGGGTCTTTGCCAAGGAGCCCAAGTAGGATAGTTGTAAAGTGCTCTGCTGCTAACTGAAAAGCTGGTGGTTCAATCCCATGGATTTCTCCATAGGAGAGAGATGAGATTTGCTTCCAGTATCAGACCCCTTAGGAGGTAGTTCTACCCTGTCATATAGGACTGCTACATGTAGCATCAACTCTACAGCAATAGGTTTGGTATTTGGGGTGTTTGTTAATGGTGTTGTGCCTTGGCCAGCACTAGATTACTTCCTGCTAAGAGATAATCCCTCACTTGTAACCATTTATTCCTCTCCTTCCAAATGCCAATTATTTCTAAACTTTTTTTTCATTTTTTAAAAATTTCTTTTATTATTTGTGTGCACGTGTACTGTCAAATCAGATCTGACTGGTACAGGAGGAGATTGTCCCTCCTTCTCCAGCAGAGCATCTGGTGGATTCGAACCGCACACCTCTGGGATTGCAGTGCAAATGCCAATTATTTCAAGGGAGCTCCAGTGGCCTAGTGGCAAGAACCTGCGCTGTAATTCTGAAGGCGTGAGGTTTGAATCCACCAGATGCTCTGCTGGAGAAGAAGGGGCAATCTCCTCCTGTGCCAGTCAGATCCCATTCGACAGCACACAACAACAACAAAATCCCAAATGCCAATTATTTCAATATCAAGATCTAAATTAGCTGGTTATTTTCAATAAAGAAAGCAGCATAAAATTGTGTTTTTATAATCAAGTTGGCCTGTCTAATATCTTAGCTATTGCTACTATTAGCTAAAATGTTCCTGTGCCACCTTAAAGCTAGAAATGTGACAGACTGTCCACACCTCCTGACCCACTCCATGCAATGTCTTGCCGTCCTCCTCTGACTTCTTTAGTGACAGGAGTTTTGCTATGGATGGGAATTGGCTACCAGATGGGGCCCTGGGAGGTCTGTGCTGGCAGCAGTGCTGTTGGATTACTCACTCTTTTTCTGTCTTCATTTTTGCATGCCACTGCTCCTGCCCTCTTACAGCCACAGTAGAAGCGGTAGAGGCCCGGGAAGGTATGGCCATACTCCTCTGATAGATATGATCCTGTGTCTGTCTACTAGTTTAAAAAAAGCTTCATCAACAGTTTGAAATCTTTCATTATTGCATCACCAGAACTGGAACAGTGAGAAAAGGCAGAGATGTTTCTAGGCATACTCACAAAACACATTTTTTTTCTCTTTGTGTGTACTGTGCATGTATTTAAATGACCCTCACCAAGGCTAACACCCCTTCTGGACTCTTAATTTTATTGTGTGCCTGAAGCTTAAGCAACTGGTCATGAAGGGTCAAGTAATTTAATTCTAAATCCCTTCCATATGCAGGAGACATCCTTTGATTACAAAAGATTCAGACAGCTCTACCTAATGATTCTAAAGGAGATCAAGAGTGAAGGCCAAAGTAGATGGGCATTCGTTCGCTCATTTCTAAGGTTGTTCTAAGGTAGTAAACGAAATGATCTTTGCTCCTTTGGAAGCCCATTTTAAGCAACGACTTTTCTATTTTATGGATGAAAATTATTGAAATAGATAAGCCTTGGATTATAATTTGTCTTGTTAGCTAAATCAATTGAATCAGTAGGAAAATACCTAGAAGCTATTTCAATGGCTTTTAACTTACGTTCAGCTACTGGTTGTGCAAGATAAAAAAAAACTGTCCTTTTGAGCAGTTTTTTGTTAATTCTTTGTTAACGTTTTTGTGATCAATGTGATGTTTGTGCTTGAAGTAACTACTGTTTTACTTGTTCTGTTATTCCAGTGTTGCCTTTTTCCCCTAGTGTTGAGCATTGAGCATGTTGCTAGTCCATAAGAAACAACTTTCTCAAATATATTGAGGTTAAGGAAGAACTTCAGTTTTGGGGTTTTTTTTGTCAGTACACGTTTGCTATGACTAACCATATTATGCTTTTATAGAAATTTCTTTCACAGTTTCAGCTGCTTTTGGGCCTTAAGGAAATAAATCACTTCAGACAAAGCTAATTCATTTCAATGTCTGTCTATTACCTTTACCAGACATGTGCTCCATAGCCACCCTGTGTTGTTCTCTAGGAGGTTCTTGTGTGCTAAGAAACTTTTAAGTTTGTCATTTTGTTGCCTAATTAAGGTCTGTTCCCTCCTCTCCTGTTTTTCTTTAGCCATCAGAGGCTTTTCACTGCAGCACAAGATTCGAAGTTTTGAAGAAGCCCAAGGTCTGGACCGAATTAACGAGCGGATGCCGCCGCGAAAAGATAATGTACACCCTGATGGGCCAGTAAAATTGGTCAGCCCTGTGCACCCAAACACTGCACACAGGAGTGACCAAGGAAAGAAAGCCCCGTGACGGTTTGAGGCCTGCTGTGGCATCCACAGCTTACCAACAAACTTTATTTATTTATTATTGGAAAACAAAGCAAAACAAACTTAAACTCGGAGGTGCATCCATAATGCAGGCTGCATTTATTCTGTAAAAAAGGTGACCATTTTATAAATTCTTTTATCTTCAATATATATAAAAAGTACATCTGTTCTGTTTTTCCCTAATTTTTAGAAATTGGTCTGATTGTTGTTGATACATTTATGAAGTCTTGTGCTATATAAAGATGACCTTCCCCTAATAAAAGGGCCTTCGAAACCTCAATCCTGGGTTTCTGACTTGAACAAATTATCCTTCTCTCATTATTTTTTGGGAAGGTAACATCTTTTATGTTCAAAAGCTTTTCACACATAAAAAGATTTATTGTTATTCTTTCACTCTCCCTTGCCCCCCACTTCCTTGGTGCCATTAAAAAAGGTCTCTTAGACTAGGTTGCTAAATTTGCTTTTCTTCTTGTAGAAAAACTGATTATGGTAGCACTTCCATGTGAAAACTGGAACCCAGTGATTGTAAGGGCCAAGGGAAATGTTTACCATAATAACCTACCTTCTTCTGGACTCGTTTATTTCTTTTATTTGTTCTAGTAAATAAAATTAATAATGATAATTTTTTAATAATTACTTAAAGTTTGTCCATTTAACTATGGACATTAATTTGAACACCTTTAGCATTTTGGAAGAGAAAGAGATTTTCAAAAAGCTTTAACTGATATCAGATTTTTTTGCTTTCATTTGTGAATCCCTGGTGACCTATCTTATCAGCAAAGGAAAAGACATTTTAAGATATTTTCTAAATGCAGAACCTTAGACAGCAAGTATTTGTGCCCATCTGTGTTACTGCATCAGCAACTGCACCCATTCTCTCCACCATCCTTCTGTCTTGGTGTCACCATTTTTGAAATCAAGTGGGACAATGAAAACTGAGTACGGTGGGGTGAGCTCAGTGTGAACTGAAAGTTTTCCAAAGGGCTTTGGATACATTAGGATTTCCTCTCTTCTGTGTGAACCACCTGGATGTTTCTACTGTGTTTTCAGTAGCACACTTAGGAATACCAGAAGTATATTCAGATACAGTGTCTAAAAGAACTTTCTGTGGTTTGGTTTTTTTGGTTATTTCAACTACTTAAGGAAATACTGGAAATCCACAGGCTCTGACTTTTTATCCCGATCATTGGTGATATGAATGTGCACACTTGGGCACACAACGTCAAAGCATGGAAATGCAACTCAATAGGATTCCTTAATGCCATTTGAAATGTAGGGCTCCAGCACGCACTGCAGCAAGGATCTCTGACTCTTGTGCTTCATATTAGGAGCTTCAAGGAAACTGGGGACCTTTCTAAAAAAGAGGGAAAACCCCCAAAACACAAAACCAGGCAACCTAATTAGCATTGCAATGTTGGGCTTTAGCTGTCTTCCTGTGTTCCCATGCTTTTTGCTAGCAGTTCCCACTTTTTATAACAGAGACCAAAGCACTTTTGGAAAATGGAATCTGGAGACAGATTGCTCTGTTAACAGAAAGATAGGAAGGTTCCTACAAGGAGCTAAAGATGTCTTATTGAGTTGGGAGTAAAAACCTCTACTATGGAAGGGGGGTAATTTTGTGCATTTATCCTTTCTGATGTAATTTATTTATACTCAGAGGGAATGAATCACCTGGTCAGTCCACATACTTCTCACGCCACATCCAGTATTAGAAAAGGTTGCTGTCTTTAGAAATTCTAATAGGAAAGTCATTCTTCAATGACAAATTTGAGATGAGAATATCTTATGCCTTTCTCCTGGTCATTAGGACCATTGCTATACATATACATATACATATACATATACATATACATATACATATACATATACATACACAATCCACAGTTAGAAACCATTCTTAAGGGCCTAGATCAGCTCACTAATAGAAAGGATGATTACACAAGAATGTCTTTAATATCGTCTCTAAAAATTGTAGTATGTAAGGCCAGGTTTCTTGATGGAAACATTGTACAAGGACATTTTTTGCAGGTACTCTGCGTTGTCAGCTGAAGGAGAGGGAAGAAGCCAGGACCAAGAACATTTGAGTTTTAGAGCAAAAACAGCTCTTAAACATTCTGTTCAATCCTAATATTCTGTAAGAAACTAGGGTACATATTTGCACAATTTAGAAAGTGTATAGTAAATGTGTCAGAATGGTGTTTCTTAAAATGAGATCCTCAGTAATGTACTTATATTTGCATTTGCACCTATGACTCAAAATAGTATAGAGAGCATGCACTGTAGTAGCACTGTAATACCAGTGCTTTTACTTAAGATTTCACTATAGGATTTTAATATTTTTCATGTTTCATTTTAAACAACAGTTACCAAAGAGATTAGATGCCTGCCCTGTGGGCTTGCTCCAGGACTGCTGTTCCTGCCTAGGGCCATCATTTCAAACACACAGAATTTTCCTCTGAATTTTTTGTGAGGTGTTTTTTGTTTGTGGGTATGTGGGTTTGGGGGGGGTTTTTTGTCATTTTTGGGAGTAAACACAGCAAAACAAGTTCAAGTTTCCACATGTACAATTTAGTGACATTGATTCTCCAAGTTGTACAACCATTATTATTCTTTTCTGAGCTATTCCTCATTACCATAAACACCCTGCCCACTAAGTTCCAATGTAATCTTTGAAATTGCTGCTATCAATTTGATCCCATTTAAAATTAGGAACATAATGTTCAAGGCAGTATCAAGTCAAGTCAGAATCAACTCACAGTTGAGCATGTTTTTAGAAGCTGTAAATCGTACGGGAGGAGACCACTCATCTTTTTCCTTGAAGCCGCTGGTGTATTTGAACCAGGAGACGCACCACCTTTGGGTCAGCAGCACAACTCCCCCTGGATGACACCACCAGAGCTCCTCACCACCCCCCCAGCTAAGTTAATCTATCATTTTGTTTTTAGATGACTTAAAAGGATATTTTCTGTTTAAGTTTTGAAGATTATCTCAGAAAAGCAGTTTCAAGGGCTCATCTATCCTTTATGGCTTCAGAAAATCTGGAGTTTGTTCTGCATTGCTCCCCTTTATATAGGTTTCTTCTACAAGATATTTGATTAAAATATTCAGTAATGGTGGCCAAGCACCATTCAGTTGTCATCGCCATCCTCTTTTGTCTCATGGCAAAAGAGGCAGCTATTGATAAAGGCAATTACCCACACACTCCATTTCCTCCATCTATTTCTCACTCTCCCTCCTTTCCCTGTGGCTCCAGGTTAATGGAGATCAATTGTCATGCCCTGGATGAAAGCTCTTAAGACCCCAGGACCATGCGGTCAACCAGGAGGTTGAACAGAAGCACTAACCACATTATATATTAACTGGAATGTCTCATGAAACCATGACCCTAGGCTTCCAAACCAAGGAACCAAATCCCAGGAGAAATCAAATTTGATGCATGCTGCAGTATAGGATGAAACTGGAAGACATTATGTTGAGGAAAATAAGCCAATCAAAAAGAACAAATGTTGTATAGCCATAAAAAAGACAAATGTAGAGGCATCAAAGTTTATTAGTGATTACCAAAGGTGAGGAGGGAAGGCAGAGAGAGTGTTAACAGATGGGGGGGCGGGGGGGAGGAAGTCACATTTAAGGGTAGGGTTGCAAAGCCAGTCACTGTAATTGCACAGAGTTGCACACCTGTAAAAACGGAACTGTGTGGTAGCTACATTTGCAGCGGGGACCGAAAGAAAGAGTAGCTGCTGAGGCTGCAGCAAATATTCTAACTGCTGGCAAACTGTGATGCTGGCATTTTCAAAAGCTCTTTTATTAAAGGTTTGACCCTTGCATGTTCTATAGATACTAAAAATACCATTCTCTTCACACTAACGTCCACAGGGGCCTTCTAGTTCTGCAAATTCTCTCACCAAAAGTGGGGGGAGGTTTCTTAAATCAGTTTGCTAGACATGTAGGAAGGAGTGCTTGGGGTCAAGTCCTCAGAAACACCGTTTTGGAAAAAATGGTACTTTTCATGGACCTGGCTTTCTTCATTTTGGTTACACAGTCATACCATATGAAATTTCAGTCAGGTTGTGTTTGTGGTTTTGTTTTTTTTTTAAATTGCCCAACACTAGTTCAAAACAAACTTTTATAACCTTAGTGTTCTAAATGTTTACAGCCAAAGCAAAAATACTTTCCTTTTTAAAGAAACCTCCAGCTTCAGTTTTCCATAAAACTTTAACATGTTGATTGTGGGTATAGACATTGCTAATCACTGTCCTTTTGTAACAAGATAGTGACCAGCAAAGTAAAAACTGTTTATCACGTGCTGATGGGCTTGGTGTGGCTCTTTGCTTATGAACAGGAAAGCCAAGATTCTCCAGTATTGACCATATTTTCCTATCCTTTAATCTGTATTTGCACTACCTCTTCTACTCCTCCATAAGCACTGCACTTCAGTGAAGCTGTTTTCTGTCAGTGGCAAAGATCTGCTTTCTTTTCTGGTGGGCTGATTTCCTGACACTGTTCAAAAATCAGAAGAGAGAAGCCTTTGTTTGCTAGCAGAATTTTCCTTCTATTTGATGTCATTGATGAACAGGAGAGGGATATCTAAAAATTTATTAACTTGGGACCCTTTTAAGCCATGGTGTTGCCCCTTAAATCCTCTTCTGAGTATTTCTTAAAGTCTGAGGCAGCTACTCTCCTTAAGACAAAGTATTTTCAGGAGAAACAGCCCATGGGTACGTGGCATCCATTGTGGCTCACATGCAGACAGTTCTCAGTGCCCATTTGGCACAGGGCAGTATGTGCTGGGCTACTGATCAAAAAGTCTTCAGTTCTAATCCACCTAATAAAGAGCTGTTCTAGAGAAGATGGGTGCTCTCCTCCCAAAAAGATTTTTCAACCTTGGAGACTCAATGACTAGTCCTCCAGAGTCACAACTAACTCAGCAGCAGCGAGCCTGGCTTCATGGCTTGATCATGACCATGAACTCTAGTTTCTTAGAACAAGTCCAACTGTAGTCTGTTCAGTCTGCCCTCCTCTGTTTTATGTAAATAGTACAGCTAATGCCCAGAACTTTTAACTAAACCGTTATCTATAAATAGGAGATGCAAACTCTTGAAAATTAAGTTCATCCTGGCCAATCTGAATTAAACTGATTTAGAAAGATCTTGCCTGAGACTTCCCAATTCATAGTTTTCCCTTGTGATGCTCTGGTGGCTAAAGAACTGCACTGCCAACCCAAAGGTACACTGTTCAAATCTACTAGCTGCTGTGCAGGAGGAAAATGGGCAGTCTCTGCCCTTGTGATTTACTGCCTC